TGCATTCCATTTATGTTTTGTTATAAGAATTGCTTTAAGATTTACAAGTAATGAAAATATGCTGGCTAATATTTTATGTTTCCGTTTAAGCCGTAAATCCGATGCTAAGGACGTACTTGCTTTTTGATAGAGCACCACCTCGCTACTTGAACATTTTACTTTGCTCGTGTGTGCAGTAAAAGTTTCCCTTTGTTTTTGTGTCTTTTTAAATAAATCTTCAAAGTGTGACCAAAAAAACATGGTTGTAAGAAGCTCAACTTGAATCGCCCTCGTTCGGCATATAGACCTCGAGCATTGCCCAAGCGGCACATAATCTGTGCAATTTGCGTGCGTTTTATGCGAATTTTGTTACTAGCATTAGTGGCTATAAAGCACACACACACACTCACGTGAGCATGTGTTTGTGCAACATTTATATGCAAATTGAGAGCATCCCTTAAAGCACATGCAGTATATAAAAGCATAAAGTAAAAGTCACTGCCATTCCAGCTACTGTGCATACTCAAGCAGGTATAACATATGAAAATATGTCAGGTTTTGTTTAAATTATTTCCGGCCTGATTACAAATGAGCATATTAAAGTATGTTTTAAAATTAAAACAGAAGAAATTGATATTAATTGTTGCTATTGTTACTATTGATTGAAGAGTATGTGTGTGAATATTAATGAAAGCCGACTATCAAATGCAGATTTTTTCAGCATTTGATAATTCTTTTGAATGTCGCTTGCAGCTGGCTGTCTGTGCGGATGTATCTCTTTCTGCTGATTGGCAGCCAGCAACATCAACAATGAAAGCGTAAAAAAATTATCCAATTTAAAAGTCAAATGTCATTTTTTGTTTGCCGCCATTGCCATCACATTATGTGAGTTACCTAACAAAGGTGCCACTTCAGCTACTGCTGTTGTTGGTTCTGATGTTGATGGAACAGGAGCAGTTGGAGTTAGAGGTAGATGAGCGAAGGCGACTACTGAGCACAGCTATGCATAAGTCGAGTAGAGTATGACAACAAAACTGAACGACTTACCGCGCCTGGCAAGAAACATTTTATTTCGTTGGCAATAACAGAGAGACAGAGCGGGAGAGATAGAGAGCAAAAAAAATTACATGAATTTCATTTAACGGAGGAACTTTGTCACCAGTCGAAAGGACAGCCGCCTACCTCGCGAATGCGTCGAGTTTGTTAATGTGTTTGCATAAATTTCAACAGCAACAGGGCAAAGTGAAAACTTGGCGTGTACATCAACAGCAGCATATAAGCCAGAGGTCGGTATATCTATACGGATACATATATGTATTATAGACAGTACTCACATCTGGCTAAGACACAAAAACATGGCCGCCATCTGCCATAGGGCGCGACAGTTGCTAGTTTGTTGGCGAAACTTTCCAAAGTCAAATCCTCGGCAACGTTGCATGACATAACTCTTATGATTCAATTTGTTTTAAGTTTGCGTTCAAAGAGCTTGTCGTCTTAGCATATGCCTGGCTGAACATTAATCAGGCTAAGCGTAACCGTATGTGAAACATGCTGGAAATGTCATCAGCAGGCATTTCAAATGACTCTACTGGGCAACCGAGTCTATATACTGATCATCTTATCGTTATGCCAACCAGCAGACATAAATATTTAAAAGCAAATTTATTGTTGGAAAGTCGAATGAAATGAAAAACATAAACTTTCCGTCAACTTGGGATAGATTAAAGCAGGTATTCATACTTCATTCTTCGAAAATTATTTTAAAACAGCTCGAACTAGTATTTAACTTTCAATTAAACATCATTTGACAGCCATTTTCCAGCTGGATTTTACGAAAAGAACTGGTGAAGAAATTTTAATACTAATTTACCGCATACAGTTGAAAATCCGATTGTGAAATAAGAGAGAGTAACCTCAGACAACTCAGAAAAACATCTGCTTTCCAGTTCGGGAAGCTAGATCTCTGTTTTGATCAGCAAAGAGTCAGTCAGGACAAACGCTTTTTAATATACAGGTAACAACTTAAGCTCAGCTAATCAACAGATGGGTCTGCGACATGTAACTATCTAGTAATTGTGTCTCAAAAGTTGAAGCAAGCCAGCTTGCATTTCCGCCCATTTGCAGCACTGAGGAGAACTGCTACTGCCACTCAATTTAAGCAGCTTGTTCTGAACATGGAAACCTGCTGTGTTGGGCGCGGCAGAGGTTAAGTGCACAAGTTTGCCCCCTGGGTTTGGGTTTCGGGCGAATGTCTGGTTTTGTTTCTTTTGGATCAGCCACGTGTTGCCCTTGTCGCAATTTTGTCGTTTGCCGTAATGCATTAGCGCTGTCAGGGATTTCAAAGTTAACCAAGAACCGGAAACAAAGCTTGCCAAACAAGATACGAGAGTTTCAGTTTCGCCGTAACTGCCGCGTAGCCCAACTGGATAAAAAATCAAAGCGTATCGCTTTCGTATCGTTTCTATATTATGATAAAGGCTTTTGGCTTTCGCAATAAAAAACAAGAGGGTGCGACTAGGATATACCCTGAACATAGCGACGAGCTGGCGTTTCTTCCTTCTATTAAGTAGTGCACAGTTGAGTTGAGCTGAGCTCTTTACACTGCTTCCCTTAGCCTCTAGACTCTTAGACTCTAGTAAAATGCTTACTTGAGTAACTTCGGCATTAATTGTCCGACCTTGATGACATTTTTGAGGTATAAATATTGCATTCAAATATGTATAAATACCAAAGCTCAAGACTAAACTTCCTAAAAGGTTGGGGAAGAGCTACGGGTATTAGGAGGAGTGTAATTTGAAATCTCAGCAGGTTCCTACAGCTCATGGAAATATATATTCATGCAACTACTAGGCACTTTACATTTGATACACTTAAGCAGTAAAAGGCTGAGATTTGATTCTTTTAATTTTTGGTGTGTTGAAAAATTGCAAGCATGCTAAATTTATCGACATTCGGTTTGAATTGCTGTATGCATATAAATCAGTAAATTTTCAATCGATTCTTTGATTTGATTGCCTGGGCTACAAAGGAGGAAAACAAAAAATATAATAAATACGACGCCCCAAGCGTTATTCAAGAACTTTTGGCATTGCTTGTCGCGGTCTACTTGAGTTTGAGTACATGGAACATATCAAATATTTATTAAATTTGCGCTCAGTTGCAACGTTTACACGTTTACATTGTCGAATCGCGATATGCCCCACTTACTGCAATAAATTTAAGTTGAAGAACAAAAAGCAAACAAGATATCAGAAAGAAAAAAAAATCATTTTATTTATAAAAACAATATATCATATTAAGAAAGAAGTCTAGACTTTGTGTTGTGCTCACGAATAACGTGTATACAAATGTTTATCCAAACTCCCAGCACTAAAATTGGGTGTCAATTTCTCTTGCTGTTGCGAATTTTCATCTCTATTTATTTAACATACATACATACACACATACATCTATATGTATCCATGTATGTGCCACATATGTGGGTGTGTGCTCCTGGTTCTGTTGTTTGTGTCGCCTTGGCGCAATTTTTATGGATCATAAAACCCGAAATTAGAAACTGCCGCCACACACACACAAAAAGAAAGAGAGAGAAAGAGAGGGAGATAATGTTTATGCTGTGTTCATCCCAGCAAAGCGTGAAAATCTGGCAGTCCACTCTAAGGAACAAGCAGCAGCCGTAGCAGCTAAGAAGTGGATTTTCTTATTAGTATTACATTTAAATGGCATATAATTTGTTTGCGTCATAATATTTATGTAGGTTCTGTCGCTATCCCCATAGCTGTTTGTGCACATACATATATTTATGTTCACTTGGCCGCCCGCTCGAGGGGCTCGCAACAACTTCTGACAAGGGCCGTGAGCGATTCGTGTTTGTAACCATGGCATTTTTGTGGCTCGGCTGTGCCACTGTGCTCGAGTCCCAGGCTGAAAATCATCATGAATTTACCATCTTAGAAAATGGTGTATAATTTGTAAGTGCCTGCACAATGCAGCGCACTTGGCGTATACGCAATGTTTAGCTGCAAATGCTTGCGAGAAATTCTATGCGTCTGTGTGTATGTGTGTGTTTGTGTTTGGGTGTTTGTATGCATGCCAGGGAAAAACAAGAACAATTTCCTATTTATCTTAAGCCCTGTTGTTCTTGTTGCCGCAGTGTTGGCGTGCGGAAATTTTTAATTACCGCTTTAACGGTAGCTGCCAAATGGCTTTCGCTTTTGTTGCACGTTTCCGTGTTGTTCTTTTAGCTTAGTTAATGCTACCGCCCTTTGCGCATTAAAACTGCGTTTTCTTTACATTCCCTCCCATTCATTTGTAGACACACACAAAAAGCGGGCGCGCAAGAAAAGAGCGGGCCAAGATGTATTAAAACTTGCGGAGATGTCCTTGAGCCAATCTCCTTTTTAGAACGCACAAGTAAATAAGAAAGAAAAAATTAATAAAAAAAAAAACTTCGCATAAATCAAAGCAAATATTTTGCTTACGTTTTGAAATCCAAATAGAGCTTCTCAGGCGCAAACCGCTCACCGCGTTTGGAGCCTGCCCCCGCAGAGCAATCGCTTACACAAAGCGCGCATTCAGAGCGACTAATCATTGGATTTTCTTTTTGCTTCAATCATTTCAGGTACATCAAATTGATATTGCAGCAGCGCAGCAGACGTCACGGCTACATGACTTGCAGCAGTTCGCGTTGGCAAAGGAAATGAGCTCAACAACCGCGACGCCGCTGCCCGAGGCACAACGCGGTCCCCAGCCTGGTTATGGCTGGCGCCAAGTTTACGCTGTGGCCTTTGAAGCTTAAAAAAACAAACAGCAACAACGACAAGAACAACAACAAAAGCCTGTGTCGAACATGCGCTGCCAAAGGTAACAATTTGTAGAGAAAGCTCAATCTTACAAAGGGTCGATCGATCAGCCAGCAAAAAGCCTAATAAAAGTGTGCATAGCTTTAAAGGTGCTCGAAATTGATACTTTAATCGTCTCTCAGCCGTAAATTGCCCGAAAAGGCAGCTTACAGCAGCGCAATGGCGCTGACAATGCGGCACAGAGTTCCATTTCTGATGCCACTGCTGCTGCTGCTGCTGATGGTGGGCATGGCAAAAACTCGCGCCGAACTGGACCCTTTGTCGGTTTCTGAACCAAGCAGTCGAATCGACGATGTTGCGCAGCCGGCGCGGGCTCGTATCAAAGCTAAAACGGAAAACGTGTCCAGCGCCGGCGACAGCTTCAACATACGTCACGGTCGCTCGCGGGCGCACATGCTGCACAGCAGCAATAGCAACAGCAACAACTACAGCAACAACAACAACAAAAAGAGCAACAGCACGCGCTTGGCGCTGGTCAGCGATGCGGCAACATTACCATTACCATTGCCAACGCCGACAGCCGCGCCCACACAGCAGCCGGGCGAAGGCGGTCTAATTGGAGCAGCCGTCACGCATAAAATACGCAAATTGCACAAGAAGAAAATCAATGAGAGCATACGCAAAAGCGTAGACCAGAGCCTGGGCATAGTGCGACCGGTAAAGAATCATCGCAGCCTGGCCGAGGCCGAGCATCTGCAGGGCCGGCCCACCGATGTGGATGACACGGCGGCTGCAGCGCTCAGCGAGGTTATGCAGTTGGCGGACGAGATTGATTTGGAAAACTCATTAGAGTCAGCTTACCAGAATGTTGTCGTTGGCTTGAGCGACAAGGAGTCAAGGGCGCCGGTCATCGAGCCAGCCACGGCCCCTGCCACAGTGCGGGGCACAGGTGCTGTCAAGGACAACGGGGCCAAGGGTGGCATCGGTATCGCAGCTGGCCGGCAATTTGTGCGTGCCAACAGTGATGATGGCAATTATGAGGATAGCGCTGAGGACGAGGATGAGCTGTCAACCACGCCAATGGCAACATTTGCGCCTCGTCATTCGGCCGCAAATGGCCCGAGAAGTTGGCAGCTGCAGCAGACGCGAGTCGTGGGCAGAACCCGCCTGCTGCCAGTGAGCCACAGCAACGGCAACGCCAGCAGCACCAGCAACAGCAGGCCGGAAGCCACAGCGACAGTTGCTCAAAATTTGAATTTACCAGCGAGCAGTGGAGCCAACACGTTCGAGTCTAGCGAGGCGGATTACCAGCTCGAGGGCTCGAATGGAAACACTGAAAATGAAAACGAAAGCGAAGCTGGTGACGACGTCGATGACAACGACGATGCGACGGAAGCTTTCCACGAGGGCAGCAATAGCACAGAGTACGCCATTGGCGTCTGGCCGGAAACTGAGGCAGAGGTGCGCTCCCAGGCCAGCACAAGCCCACATGATAGTGAGGGCATGGAAATTAAACAGATAAACTTCAACTTCGGCTCGGAGTCGGAGTTGGAATTGGAGCTAGAGGCGGAGGGTGAGCCAGTGCTGGATACTTCAGAGGTTACCATGGATGATGGCTATCCGCCCGAGGTGCTGATTGATGACAACACCAAGCCACTGGTCATTGACGATGTGGAGGGCGATGGCGTTAATTCCAATCAAATAACGGCCGATGTGATAAATGCGCGCGATAATAAAATTGACCTGGTATCCAAGTTTTTACAATATATCGAACAGCAGCATTTGATGGGTTCCAATTGTGTGGCCGGCACCTCGCTCAATCTTGGCGAGGGTGTGGTCGACCGTTATGCACAGGATCGATTTCGTGTCGAGGCCGAGGTGGCCGTCAATCGCGCCAACATGCTGACCAGGTGAGTCAAAGTCAAAGTTGATCTCACCCCGCCACCCACACACACACACATATCCATATTATACGCTTGGCAAACTTTTCCAATCGAAACTTGGCCAGCGGCAACAGTCGGCGCAATGTGTAGCCAAGTGAAATGGCCACGCAAATGACCGGAACACCGCACATGTGCGTCCGGCTAGCGAATAGTTCCAGACAGAGTTCAATTCGTGAAAGCCATATGTCAAGTCCAAATACCTTTAATAATTTCTGATGAAGTCCATCTAATCCACTGCCAAATTGGGGTTACAGTCCGACATGCCGTCTAAATATTTGTGGCTACATAAATTGTATACAAGTTCTTGGAGACGCACACAAATATATTTTACTAATTGCTGCTGTCAGTTCTTGTCGTCTGAGCGGTTGGAAAACTTAATGTGTTTTCAATTGAATGTTTAGCTCAAGGAGATAAAATGTATTTCACTGGAAATGTGTAAGAAAATCCCACTAAAGCAATTTATGTAGCAAGCAATATTCAGTCCGATTCAGATATAAAATCTCAGAATCTTTCCGATAAACAGAAGAATTCAATTTGGGTAAAGTATATAAATTGACCTGCTAGTGTAGAAACACTTTGAGAGAGCATAAAAGTAACATTTACCAAGATAAATCCGATTACCAAAAAGGTTCAATCAAGAAAGAATGTGTATCTTCGATGCGCCGAATTTTAAATACTCTTGCCTAGGCCTGACATTCGATTTTGCAGATATTCGAGTACAATTTTGCACCTTACATTTGCTGATTCTGCTCAACAAAAGAGAAACCTCATATTTTTATTATCGTTCCTGTGGCGGCTATATGATATAGTAGTCCAATCCAGTCGATTCTGACACACTATATACTGACTGTTATAGAAAGAGGAACCTGTGCGCAGTTTCATGTGGATAGCTTTAAAACTGAAAGACTAGCAAGCATATAAACAGATAATCGGGAAAGGCTTGTCTGTTAGTTACCAAGAAAAAATATATTTTTTGGAATTCGACCCTATATTTCCTTTGATACGCAACACTTGTCATGGCAAAAGTATGATGCACCAAACCAACTATTTTGTTTCAAATAAAATCAATCCCCAAATCCAAGAACTTATGATTCTATTTACAATATACTTAACTGTTTGGTTAAAATTGAATAGAAACAATTTAAATCAGCTTTGCGATAAATACAGAATTCAATTGAATAACTTTTCATACATATATATTTAAATTGACTTTTTATTGAACTGAATGTTGTGCAAAAAATATAGCCATTGAGTAGGTAAATAGTACATAAGTCTTATATACATATGTGTTGTATAGAATTTGTATAGCTGTTTGTTCTCACTGACTGATTGATGGATGCGCACAGATCAAGTTGTAAGATATAAAAGTTTCCACCCTCAAGAGTGGAATTATGGTGAAAGACGAATGCAACTATTTTGCTTACTTGCCGATTGGGCTCACACACATTAACATGGTTTTCTCAAAATTCCCCTAAGTGAAAAATGAGGTGTGGGTGAATATTCGAGTTCCATTTAATGTCCAGGGATCTTAATGAAAATGTACTAAAGACGTCTGAGGGATTCAATTTGTCATGGATGAAAATTCAAGTTGAATTTGTATGGCTCTCAGCTTGTTGTTTATATTAAGTCATTACATAATGCTATTGCTATCAAGTACTATTCACGACGTTTGCACAATTAACAACTACTTATGTAGGATGGCAAAGCTGGCGTTGACTATGCGAAATTGCCTGCACTTCTGATAAGAGTTCAATTACTTAGTGAATGAGAAATAAGCGCAAAGGGTCTTTGGCAAAAAGTTGGCTAAGACAGACACAGGTCATGGGCCAAGGGCTTTGATTTACTTTGACAACCGCAACAATGGCAATTCTTTTGGTTTTTCTAGGAATGCGCAGCTGTCGCTGTGTGTACGCCTAGTTTTTGCCCAGTTCACCGACAACATCGAACACTGGACTCTCTGGCCATCTCAAGGACATGCCATTCCTCTAGATATTCGCAAAGTCGATATCGTGCCATTCGTAACCACCCTGACCAGTAGCGAGGTCTGAGCGACATTTGTCCTTCTCTGCTGGCCAGTCGGGCACAATAAATACCAAAGTTTCGACCCACGGCGCACATATGTGGGCTCAAGTCCGCCTGATGTCCACTCGTGTCCTGCCCCATGGATGACTGTTGCTGTAGCCACCTGCATGCGACTGTGTGTGTGCGTGTGTTCGTCTTGCAAGACATTAGACATTGAATATATGTGCGATTTTCTGCAAAAAAGCGTTTCCACTTTTTTCCAAACATGTTTTGCTTAGCTTCGTTTTCGTTGTCCGACCGTAAGGGGCAAAAAAAAAAAAAATGAAAAAATAACAGAAACGTCTGTGAAAGGCAAGTATTCACTTTCTTGCCAATGGCTCTCACATAATTTGCTAGTGCCGATAAGAACTTTTTTTTTAGATGAAGCTAACGAATGTGTGTCCCATAGCATTGATTAGAGGGCGCTTAAATCACAGACATTTGCTCGCCCAAAGTAAAAGTAATTTATTAAAAGCCAGACAAACAACAGAATCTAGGAGAAAACAATTAACTTTCGTGTGCCGAATATAGAATACACTAGCTGATGTAATATAGAATGGATTTATGTAGAGTATTTCGGCCCAGTTTTCAGATGAGAAATGCAGTTTTGTTATGATTTTTTTGTGCTCCTTTCGATTTTCTGGCTGTTGGGTAGTTGTAGGTCAAAAACGAAATCAATCGCAAAATCCCAGAGCTAAAAAAAGCGCATAAATGGAAGCATAAAAAAAAGTATGCAGATGTTTTAAAAGTAAATTTAAAAAAAAAAATAAAATATAAACTAGTTGTTGACGTGTGTTACATATTTTGTGACAAATTAAGAACAACCTCGACGTGCACGACAGGCTGACAAATCTAATGTACATTTGTCGCCTGTCCAAAAAACACAAATAAACAATTAACCGCGCAAACAACATGACAAATTAAGTGGAACGCGAACAAGAGGACTAAATAGCTATACAAAAACAACGACAACAACGACAACATCAACAAAAGCAACAACTGTTTCAACCTGAAAGCAATAAAATGCCAAAGTTGCTGCTGTGAACATCAAATGTCAATAAATTAAATTGTGTCCTGGGCCCTGGCACAGGATCAACATTATTGCATTTAGTGTCATATGTTAGACGTTTGTTTTCATTCCAACGGACTTGCCATTTATTTGTGCTGTGTATTATATTGTGTGCATAAAATGTTGCCCCCGGGCATTGTTGCTCTCCAATATTAAGCCACGGGGCACAGGCAGAAAGGCAGAGCTTCCAGGCAGCCAGGCAGGCCGGCAGGCAGGCAACTGGCAGCTACTGCTAATAAAGTAGGGTTTGAGGCAGTTGCCCCAAATCCCTGGCTCATAATTTCGCAGATATTCATCAGTTATTTTAATCAGTTCTCGATAGGTCGTTGGGTCGCCAACGCAATTTGTTTCATGTGCAAACATAATCAACGACTTCCTGTCACCCCCGCGAATCTAAACAGATTTTTTGGCAAACTCTAGGGAAATCGCGGACCTTCGGAGATGGGAGACGACGCCTGGAAAACATCCGGCGTAGACAAAAGCAACTGAAGGGCTCACGGCAGTGTGGGCGTGGCTGTAAGTGGTTCCAGAAGTTGGAGCGCTTTTTAGGCGGGCACACGTACCGACAAACTAATTGAAGTTATTGTTCTGTGACACATTGTTGTTGTTGTTGTTGTTGGCGCTCGGTGTTTGTGTCTAAGCATTTCCGTTTATTTGTAACGCAAACAAAAACAAGAAAACAAGTTAAGAAAACACAAGAAAACAAAATAACACCCAGCAATGGGAAGACGACAGAAAAAGAAAGCAGGAAGGCAGGAAAAACAATATCAATTCAAGTTGAAATTACGGGCTTCAATTGTGTTTTCTTGCCTTGGCCACTTTTTCTACTTTTAGTTTCCGTGCGCGCCACAAAAGTGTTGCCAGTCAGCCAAGCTGGCTGAAAAGAAGCAGCACACACTAGCGCACACACACACACTCGCACACACACACACACCTTATGCGCAAAAACAAAACGTGTAAAATGAGCAAAAAGAGTTGGCAGCAAACTTTTAAGTACTTAAATGTGTTGTCGTCGCTTGAGTTGCAGCTCGCGTATTGCCCTTTGCTCCCTTTGCCACACTTCACCGAAATTGAGTTTCCGGGCTTTGTGTTGTCTGTTCTATGTTCTGTGTTTCTGTTGCTGTTTCAGCTGCCTGCTGCTCTTTGCTAGCACATTGCCACTGAAGTCGCGTCCTCTGTCAACGGCTCATCTATCGCCAATTTCGACTTTATGTTTATTTTGAACTTTTGCGTTCAAGTGACGCAAAATCGCCTGTTCTTCAAGTCGTATTCAATTTGTCGCCCAACTTTTGGTGGGGCCACAAAAAAAGCTGTAGAGGCGGGAAGAGGGGGGCACAGCTGCTAGGGCGCCGCAGTGCCTCAGCACCGCTTTGAATGTGCGTATTTGTGCGCTACACAAATCGAAATCTGCATAAGCGATGTGGCATGCAACAGCAATGGCAATGGCAATAGCAATTGCAACGAGCAATTGCCCGCCCGCGGCAATAAAACGCGACTGAGATGGCGTTGTCGACGCCGACATGACAACAACAAGGTCAAAACGGATGCCCCAACCCCCGCGCACACCCTTTTTCATGTGCCATTGTCAACATCCTTCAAAGTTTGCCAGTGCAAACAAATAAATATGTAAGTGCGAGCAGCAGTAGATACAGGGACTGGCGGGAGACTCAAATACACGCACAGCTGCAGATCTAGATACAGATATAGCTGCAGCTATATATATAGATACAGTTACAGCTACAGCTACAGATACTAAACATGAAACACATGGCCAACATCCGACTTTGCTTTGGCTTTTTGTGCCGCTTGATTTGCTCTGCGCCACGGGTGGTGCTAA